ATGGAACTTTTAAGTGACCTACATGCATTTTAGAAGTTTGATTCATGCCAATTCACTATAGATTTTTGACTGTATAACACATAGCACATGCAATTTGCAATAATGTCGCCATTTATAGTTCTTTCTACTGTTAATGGAAATGCTCAACCGCATATCGACAAATCTAAGGTATAAGAGTAAAGTTGAAATAATGTCAAAGCAGGAAATGTTCACCTTCTTGCTTCCTCATCTCGAAGCTTGGCATCAAATTCCTTGCTTGGTGGGTACTTGGGCAAGCTCGAGGGGTCACAGGGAAGAGGCTTTGTCGTGAAGAACTGAAAAAGAAGACTTACAAATTAGGTATATAACTCCTAGAAATCAGCAGAAGGAAATCAAATCCCCTCCCTTCCCAAAAAAAAAAAAAGGCACCAATGACTGTAAACATTAAATGGTTAGATGTATCCTATTCCTACCATCAAAGTGTGAAGGGGAAAACTCCTAAGCTTGAATGTGTTTTGATCCAATCAACAAGCCATAACTGAGCAAATAAACCCTAGTGGAGAAGTGAAGCATACAAGATTTCATTATTCCAAATACCAATGACATTTCAAGACATAAGGAGGGCCAACTCCAGAGACACTTCTTGATTAAGAGATTAGACGGTGATGCAAAGGTTCCAGGCTAGATATCATTGACGATGCATTACACAATTTTAAAAAAACAAAGAAAAAAAGACAATTGAAGGAGATAACATCGGACTTGAAAAATAAATACCCAATTAAGATTCCAAAATGGATAAATATGGCTACATCAAATTCAACGTTTACCTCACTTTGAAGTGCAGAAGTAGTTGATCCCGGTTATCTGGTTCAACTGCAAGGAGGACATCCAAAAGTGCTAAAGCCGAAGAAGGGAAGCCCTTGAATGTTTCTAGAACACAGCGTTTGTAAGGTTGTTGAGGTTTGAAAATAGTCGCATGTGGCAATTTTGATTTTTTCCAGTACTCTTCAGATGGTGAACCACAAAGTTTGAAAATTTTATGCAGTTGTTCCACCTACATAATGTGAATGAGAGGAGGTAAGGGAAAAATTAAATTTACGTCATTTACAAACCCACAACACACTTCATTTATCCTACATTTCATAATAAAGGTTATTTATCGAAAAATAGAGAGCATACTAAAAAAAAAATAAGTTAACCAATTAACAATCCTGTTAACAACATCTTGAAGTCTACACGAATACTATGTTGTGCAAGGATAATGTAATGGACCCCATAACAAACATAGGATAAGCAAAACATCAATCCGTCTCATCAATTTGATTCCTATTGTTTTGAAATTTGAACAAACCAACTTCTAAACAATAAACAGACTACAATGACTACCCGTATTAATAGTAAGTGAATCTCTATATTCCAATTAGAAGATCCAGTTTATTATTATTATTGTATAATGTATATAAGCCGAAAACGCCCTAATGCTGTTCCATCCATACAAGATCCTCAGTGAAGAAGGATGATAGGAACCTGTAGCTTGGATGACAAGGCTTTAGTGACTAATACGCGGAGTTCCAAGCTCAATTATACCAAGAGATGCTACCTGACGTGCTTGATCTATGCATGATTATGCACAAATTACGTTTACATAGCAGCCACAAGTTCAAAAAGCGCGTGGTTGAGATGGTTCTGGGTTATAGTAACAAAGAGAGTGCAAGGAGAAAAAAGAAAGTTTCACGTATTAACTTCATAAGTTACTAAATGTAAACCTCACCTAGTACTTTGGAGAACTTAAGAACCATCAAGTTGAGAAGATACTGATATTCTGTTGATATAAAATATTCTAAATTTAAGAGTCTTATGACTAAAACAGTAAACGTTATAGGACCTAATGGGTTTCCCATTTGTTGTCCCATTCTCCCCCTTCCATCATTGAAGATGATGACACAGTCTTCTTTGGTTTTTCCAGTGAGATCTTTTACCACTCTTTTGAGAAAGAGAGACACCCTTCTAGAGAGCACAATTTTTTTTCATCTGGACATTGCTTACTCCTTTTACCCTTCAATATGGAATAGCTCTCTCTGTCTCTCTCTCTCACACACACACACTCAAACACAAACACACACACCCACACCCCAAACATATTCACACATTAATTTAATACATTAACAAAAAAAGAAAAAAAAACACCAACATCATTTATTAAAAGTATATCCAACGTAGAGTACCTCTGTCCTTCCAGGCATGATAGGCTTCCCCGCATATAATTCTGCAAGAATGCAACCAGCACTCCACAGATCAACAGCTACTCCATAATCTGTAGCGCCAAGCAAAAGCTCGGGAGGTCGATACCACAAGGTAACTACGCGACTTGTTAGAGGCTGCTTTTGATTGGTCCGGAAAAATGTTGCCAGGCCAAAATCACCAATCTTGAGATTTCCGTAGTTGTCAATCAGAAGGTTTGAGCCCTTGATGTCACGGTGCAGGACCCCACAACTATGACAGTGTTCAAGTCCACGTAGCAGCTGCTGCATGTAACATTTGATCTGCAGGCCCATTACATGATATCCCAAATAAGAAGTTAGAAGGTTAAAGATTGAATCATTTAGGCAACCTTTCAATTACAACTATCGACATGAAACGGATGGCTAATTATTATACAATGCATGTAGAATTATAACAGGTAGTACATATAAAATCATAATAAACTTGCAGAGCCAACACCGGCCTATCTTCCAGATGATAATTCAATTAATCAAAAAGAAGAAAATTAGTGTCACCCTTTTCATTACATTTAGCTATAGATCAATTATGACAAACTAGGTGTGCTCCAGTCAGAATTGCTTCAATCCTATTCCCATTTCTGCTCCATAATGCCGGATACAACATTACTTCATGTTAACCTAATACAACGGTAAACAATCAAAATATTATCATACTTAAGATGGCAATGGAAACTATTTAGACTCTTAATCATTGACATCCTTTTCAAATAAGACCAAAGGAATCTCAGAAGAGTACATCCATAGACAACATAGATCTGGATCAATCTACGAAGGGTGCACATGAGCTGAGTACCCCCTATTTATGATTCCCTTACCTTCGGAGAGGTTTCAATCACAATTGACTAGATCCTTGGTCATACTCGGTCAATTATGTTTGATCTTGACGGGGTAAGAACAAGGCTGATTGAGAGCAGCTAAGGTCAAACATTCAACAATCCAACTACTAAGAGCATGGTTACCACAATTCACTAAACTCTTGAAGATCCACGACCTGGGTATATCAATCCCAAACATGGTGGGTTCTCGATCTAGATTACTAAAATGGGTAACCCCAAATTGTAATACTAATCTTAAATCAATTTGCTTTAGAACATGTAAAACAAATATAAAATACATATTAATTGACTACATGTATATAAATTTATAATTATATATTATTTTAGATAATAGAAAATCAAACACAAGATAAATGGTAACTAACTTAGTGTTTATGGATATTCTATAATATATAATGTTATATAATAGGGAAAACGATATGCATAAGAGTTCCAAAACAAATTGCAATCCAAAATATTGTACTAACTAAGTCTACCCCCACCTTATTGCATATCTAAGAAAGTGTCGTACTATGTACCCCGCACTCATACCACTACCAAAGCGACCTACAATCCAGATAACATTGACTAAGAGAGGTTTAAGATTAGTGGTCCTAGAGTTGTGAATGAATGTGGCCACTGAGTTGTGAATGCTTTTGTGACAGGGCATTAGGGACACAATAGTTTAGACTTTAGATGCACATATGAACCCCTAATTTGTTAATGGAATTGCTGAACTCGTTTGACATAATTCTTGAAGATATGGTTATGACTTATATGCGTCAACACTATGGGTGTGAGACAGATGGGATGAAACTGCAATTAAGCACACCTATTGGGTCTGGGCTACCGCACAGTTTAATGTGCTAGCTTTCAAATCCTCAACAATTTTTTTTTCTGCAAATTAGGCCCTTTATGTTCATAAGCCTAACCAGCTAAGGTTTCTGTCACTTGAGGTTGGATTTGCTATCACCCAAGCTCATACATTAGTGAAATACTACAATTTGGGGTGAAGTGAGGACATCCACTTCTACTGCCAAAACCAAATTATAACATCTCGAATGCCACTCCTAAGCAAAACAAAACACCTGAACAAAATAAAGAAATCCACTTTGCCAGTTGGCTTGTACCAAGAAACACAAAAGTATAGTGGAATGCTATCTCTGTGTATATTATAAGCAATAAGGCTACTTTTATTGCAGTATCACACCAATTTTTTCCTGTTGTTGATGTCTTTTGATACCCCAAACTGCAAGAAAAAAGCACACACCTGTGATTCAGTAAACTTAATCGACGGTGATGCTGCAAGCCCAGCAAGATCATGCTCCATGTACTCAAATACAAGGTATAAATTGCCCGAAACCCTTGAAGTGACGAGACCTTCAAGCTTCATGACATTTGGGTGATCCAGCCGACGCAGAATAAGGATTTCCCTTGCCATAAAACGAACACTTTCTGGATCCATGTTAGCAAAGCGCACTTTCTTCAGTGCAACTATTTTTCCAGTTTCAAGGTCGCGTGCTCTGTAGACACTACTGTAAGTCCCTTGTCCAATCTGCATTATTGGCATGTCAGATGTTACCACCAAAGGAATTTATACAAAATAATTATTAAAAAAAAAAAAAACACAGGCATTGACCTACAAAATGAAATAATTCGAAAACAAATGCCTAACAAATTCAGTTAGAAAAGTTAAGGACGAAAATAATATCAATTTGCACACCAAAACCCAATTATCCACGACTAAATTTGGAGCTGAGCACTCATCACATATAATATCTCAGCCAACCCATGCCACAGAATGGAATGGGGAGGGGGTGATTTTACCAACCATGTAAGAACAGCCCCATGTACATATATAGTAATTTCAATATGTTACATCACAACAATCACGTAATCCCTTCAGACCACCATTCATGTGATCCAATTTTAGAACTTCTTTTAACTTCCATTTGAGTCACGGTTTAATTGGCAGTTCATCCAATTGCTGACCACATATAAAAACAGGATCTTGTAAATTCAACCGACATATACAAGCAGCCACCTTATTGTCCAGAGTAGAAGGATCTCTATTGGCATAATCATGTTGTCTAATGGCAGACACATGACACATCACAGGCAATTTAAATCATTTGTGGGCAAATGTGCATGAGAACTGTTAACCATGGAAAGCAACATACTTAAAATTAGTTCGTTCAACTCACATGCAAACACGCGAAAGCGCTACTTCATTTTAACTGAATTCTATATGACTGGGTATATTAGCTCTAAACCATATGAAACCACATGCCTGAAATGGTTCTTTACACAAATACGGAGATACACGTGCATAAAGAGCAGCCCAATATATAAGGCTCTCACAGTGGTGTCTGGGGAGGATCACTGCAGGTTAAAAATGACAAAACATGAAACTGAATATACCATGAGTACCAACAACATAAATTAGAAACAAAATGTGCAATATGAAGGAAACATTATAGGAACAAAATGTAAAAAATTTTTGAATTTTAGTAGACCTTGTCCAACTTCTCAAACGAATCTGCCTTTCGGGGCACCCAACCTTTGATAGCTTCCCCTGCTACTGCAGTCAACCAAGATGGCCAACCAGCAACTACTTGTGCCCCATCAACCCCATTGCGAATACTAAACACCCTAGACACCTGGGGTTGTCCTCCACTCATCCCAATATCCATTGTTGCACTTCTTTGAATCTGAGATGCTGCGGTTTTCTCCACAACCACAGCCTTCTTTTCCCCCTCAATCCGGGCCTCCGGGGGAGTGGAGCCTGCACTCTTTTCAATGGGCTCCATTGATATAAGCCTGGTGGTTGCATCATTGGCACCACCGTCAACCTCCACTACAACTTCCTCTTTTCTTGAGGAAGCAATTGCACGTTTTGCTGATTTTTTTGAACTTTTCCTTTTAACATGACTCTTTCCAGAAATTCCTTTCGAACAAATGCAACCCATAATATGCAATTTCACAATCCCCTGTCTCTAAACAGGAAACTGTGTAATTCCCTCTGAATTCAGATAGCTAAACCCAATTTGAGTTGTTCAAATTCTTGGGGCATTAAATCATCAAACTGATTGAACCTCAAAACCCAACTTCATAAATGGGTCGCAATTTAAAGATTTTCAAGCTTCAAATTCAAAATGCACCATTCAATGGAGATACCCCTAATCCAAAATCAGATATACCAAGAGGGTGTTAACAAAAAAATGAATCTGCAAAGAACCCTGATCCCCAAATCCAAAGAATTTAATCAAAACCAACCCATGTTGACAGAAATCCAGAATACAATCATCGCATCACCGACAAAAAGGAATTTTGGGGTACATCAAACGCCAAGAAAGTAGAGATTAGACCAGAAATTGAATCAAAATGTTCAAATTTGAAGCATGAACTCTGGTTGGGCGAGGGTTTCCGGCAAGTTTCTACAAACAATTGGCCAAACCAATCGATTTAATTCAGATCCAACGTTCGATATCAAAGCAGAACAGAAGAGAACATCCAAAAGAATTTGTTTTCCAAAAAATAAAACCGGGCTTTGAAAATGGCGTTGTGCATTCCAGGGAGAGAGAGAGAGAGAGATTTTCGGATCTGTGGGTGCCCTGGAAATGCGAGCGACCAATCATATGCATTTTTTGGTCAGAAAAAAAGAATTCATAAATGGGTCGCACCTCAAAAAAACACAACTCAAAGAGATCTTCATTCTTAAGTTCTGTTTTGTTACAAGAGAGAGAGTGATAGCGTGAAGAGGAAGGAATGAATACGGCTATGGGGAATGCGTCCACTCCAAACTTCTGCGTAACACCGCACGAGTAGGGAGACAAGTTCCTCTTACTGACACGTGGCAGAGGTGGGGAAGTGTCTCTGTTATCTGGGCCCCACGTAATATATTCCCTCCGCTTGGTCAGAAGATGACAATGAATATATTTTCTTCGTTATAATATGAGTACGCTAGCAATAAATAATCTTATGTTTAAAAAGATTTTATAATATTAAAAATCGAATAGTAATTTTATAAGATACGAAATTTATTTTTTTTCTATAATCACACAATTTAAAATTAAATAAATAAAAAAGAGATAAGCGAGATAGAAGAGATATATGGATGAAATTACCGTTTAATAAAAATAATTTTTTTAAACTGGTAAAAAAAATTGTGATGAATTTTTTTTTATTATTAAATCAATGTGACCGATATTGTATTTTTATAAATTAAAATTTAATTTTTTTAGCTTAGATAGGGAGTACCAAGAATATTAATTGTTTTTGAAAAACTTTTGCTTACACCCCCTACCATTTGGTTTAATTACATACGGACCCCCTTATATTTTAAAATTGTCATTGAGACCCCTAAATATTTGGAAACGAATGACACGAACACCCCTTTCTTCTAACGGACGTCAAAACAAGTAACGAGAAATGATGATCTCATCAACAAAATGTAATATAATATCCTTCCTATAATTTGAGAGACTAAATCAATTTAATAAAATGACAAGTCTACCCTTCCACATCACTTATAATTTTGACAAATAATGATACAACAACTCAATTCTATTTATTATAATAATCTAATTCACTTAATTATATAAATAACAATAAATCTAAATTTAGGAATAAAATAATTTATTTTAAAGAAATCTGGTGCATTAATTAAGCTAATTTATTTCAAAAATAAGACCATATAAAATATATTCTAATATTTAAGCGCATGTTTTACCATAATTAATTCAAAATTCGATTAATTCCCAAAATATTTAAATTAATTCACTAAATCTAATCAATTCGTGAGATCAAATTCACATCCAATGAATTCTCATAGTAATTACGATTCGAAAAATAACCAACTTTCTCGATATAATAGGTTGTCTATGTTAAGCTTACCTAACACATACTCAAATCAAATATAATCTACTGTTTGTACCATGAATTAAGCCAATTGTATTGCACTGCCACCCTCCAATCCCATCGACCACCACCATCAATACAGTGATTGAGAGAGAGAGACCATCGCCTCCACCATCTGAAAGCCCACCACCAACACAATCGGTTCCACCATCCATAACTTACCACCTCTACCATGTAGGATCCCAAAATAATATGAAGCACTTAAAAAATATTCTCACACACAAAATAATTAATCAAGAACTAAAAAGAACTGAAGAAGACGAAAACCAAACATCAAAAGCAAAAGTATTCTTCCATTAAAAACTTAGCCGAACGATTCTACCACGACAAAGCATAAAGACTCCGGGTATTAACCACCAACCAAACTAATAACTAATAAACTAATCCTAAACTAATTAGAATATTACATAAATCAATAATTCTAAACCCATTAAAACTTTAATTACAAACTAATACCAAATAAATAAGGAATAAAATATTTGGAGAGTTTGGGTCAAAATCCAACAGTCTCCCTTGAACCAAATTTTTCGCTCTTGATTATCTTCATCATCTGCTTAAGCTTCATGAATGCATCAGATTTAAGTGGCTTGGTAAAAATATCTCCAATCTGATCATCGGATTGACAATACAAAATTTCAATCTCACAATTAATAACCAAGTCACGAATATAATAGTACTTGACATGAATATGTTTGGTCCTCCCATGAAAAACTGGATTCTTTGATAAAGCAATAGCTGAATTGTTATCACAGAAAATCTTTGAAGGAATTTTCTGTGCATGCTGCAAAAATTCAAGCATACGACGCAACTACACTACTTGGGTAGCACAACTGATGGCTGCATTATACTCTGCTTCAGTGGTAGAAAGAGCAACAACTTGTTGTTTCTTTGAAGACCAGGGAAAAATTCTTGAACAAATTTGAAAACAATACCATGAAATACTTTTGATTTTTTTCACATCACCACCCCAATTATTATCTGTATACCCTACAAGTTCACAAAAACCAGTAGGAGAATAAAAAATACCATCACTATGGGTGCCTTTAACATATCTCTGAATCCTTTTAGTTGCTTGTAAGTGGGATTAACGTTGAAACTCCATGTATCTGTTGATAAGACCAACTCCAAAAACGATATCAACTCTAGTGGAAGTCAAATAATGTAGACTTCCCACCAACCGTTTGAAATATGTGGAATTCACCAATGCACCATTCCCATCTTTAGACAATTTCAGTCTTTCTTCAACTAGAGTCAAAATAGGATTACAAGAATCCATTTTGAACCGTATAAGGATATCCCAACATACTTTTGTTAGAAAATAAAAATCTCACTATCTATTTGATTAACCTCAATCCCAAGAACATAGGACATCAAATCCATATCAGTCATCTCAAATTGGGAAATCATTGTCTCCCTAAATTTCTCAATTAATTTCAAATTATTTCCTATAAAAATAAGATCATCCACATACAAACACACAATAATAATATCACCCTGAGAATTAATTTTGACATACAAAGTGTGTTCGTAGGAACATCTCTGAAAATTATTTTTCATAAAATAAGAATCAATCTGAGTATACCAAGTTATATGGGCTTGTTTAAGCCCATACAAAGTTTTTCAACTTATAGACTTTATTTTCCTTCTTTTTATTCACATAACCAGCAGGTTGCTCAACATAAACTTCCTCCTCTAAGACACCATTCAAGAAAGCAGATTTCACATCCATTTGAAAAAATTTTCAAAAATTATTAGTAGCAAGAGAAATAAGCATACAGATAGTATCAAGCCTAGCAACAGGAGCAAAAACCTCAAGATAATCAATACCTGGTTTTTATTTGTAACCTTTGGCTACTAACCTTGTTTTGAAGTGATCCACCTCCCCATTTGGCTTTTATTTGGTCTTGTACACCCATTTAACTCTAATAACTTTTTTTTTGCTTGGGAAGAGAAATAAGCTCTCATGTATTATTTTTCTCGATGACATGAATTTCTTCATTCATTGTTTTCACCCAATGTTTCTCCCTACAGGCATCACTAAAAGAAACAGGATCACAATCTGCATATCAAGCAAATTTTATTAAATCCTTATTTGAAGAGTCACTGTCAGTGCCAATAACATAATCCTCCAATCTAGCTGGCATGTGTCGTTCACGTTGTGAACGCCTAGATGACTCTCGCTGTGGGGATTGAACAACTGGAGACTGTTCAATTGGCTGATCACCAACTGAATCATCAATTTCAAAAAGAACAAGTATGGCTAACTTGTCTTCCTTTTGGGATCAATCCCTGCTCATCAAAAGTGACATCTCTACTAATAATTATTTTTCCTATTATGGGATTGTAAAACTTGTACGCTTTTGTAATTGAATTGTATACAATAAAAATACACTTTTCAGCCTTGTCTTTAAGTTTTTTTCCTGAGTGGGTAAGGAACATAGGCATAGGCAATACAACCAAACACCCTCAAATGTTGAATACCTGGCTTCTGACCACTCCAAATCTCATTGGGAGTTTTTCCCTTAAAACTTCTGGTAAGGGACCTATTCAAAACATAAACAGCACAAGCAACAGTTTCTGCCCAAAAATTTTTAGGCATATTTTTAGATTTTAACATGCATCTAACCATATCCATAATAGTTCTATTTTTCCTCTTTGTCATACCATTACGTTGGGGAGTATTTCTGACTGTCAACTGATGCTTAATACCATAATCTCCCAAAAAATTATCACAAACCTCAAAACCTTAATTTTTTTCCCACTTTTCCTTTAAACATAAGCCTTAAAATATTTAAATGTACCACAGGTATCAGATTTATTTTTCAAAATATACACACAGGTCTTTTTGCTAAAATCATCAATAAAGGTAATAAAATATTTGGCTTGTATTTGGTCTTGTACACCCATTTAATTCTAATAACTTTTTTTTCTTTGGGAAGAGAAATAAGCTCTCGTGTATTATTTTTCTCAAAGGCATGAATTTCTTCATTCATTGCTTTCACCCAATGTTTCTCCCTACAGGCATCACTAAAAGAAACAAGATCACAAT